TTTCGTTCTTCTTGTCTAGATCAAAATTTTGTCTAGAGCTGGAATCATTTTGATTTTGATTAAAAGGCATTTATTCAAAGTTAGAGCAAATTAAAGTACAAACAAAATACTGTACATAAAGTAAATATGGCAAAGCTCAGAAGCAAAACATTTAACTTGCGTACATCGCATATTACACATTATGAATTAAATTAGAAAGTTATTGAACAGTGAGTTAGTTGATTTGGGTTTTAAACCCAAGCGATTGCGAAATTCAAATCTGATTATATAGTTGCGTGAACAAGTAACATGACATTTGACCTTTCCTAAGTGGATTTTGACACAATTTTACACTGTCAGCCTATCATATTAAAACATTAAACCAAAACACAGCTTGAGGCCATTAGGAAATGCAACAGAATTCTGTTGTCTATTCAGAAATATCAGCGCAAATGAGAGAATGTTTTGCCTCAAAATACACAAAGAATTGTTTGAAAACAAACGCTTCCAATGTTATCCGTTTTACTTTTTCACATGTGAAATCTTCTCAGGTTGAATAGTGATTTTTTTATATTACTGTATAGCAAAATGAGTAGCGAAATCCCAAAAACGGATAGCGAATCGCGATTCGCTATCTGTTAATTTGAACCCTGATTTGACGACTCTAGATCCGCCCCTGGGGAATAACCATAATAACAATTTTGTGCTAAAAATAACAATCTCTGAGAATATAACTTCTCCAGAGGTTTCCAATTTGTTTGGGCTAGAACATCCTCTGTTGGTGTTTGCAGGTCCAACTTGTAAATCACCTTGGCCGCCCGTACGTGTATACGCTCTAGTTCATCAAATAGGGTTTTTCCACATGATCCCCATATTACGAGCCCATATGTGATTGAGGGTAATATAACTTTAAAGTAAAAATCAGCCCTTGCCTTAGTTGGTAAAAAATAAAGGGACTTTAAAAGATTAAGTTTTTGTGCGAATGACTTAGTTAGATCGGTTACATGAGCTTTCCACTTTAATGTACTATCTATTTCAATTCCTAAACATCTGGAAGACTCGACTTGTTTGAGGTAAGTATTTCCTAATTTAATACTTTGCAATGGCCCCACGAATTTACCTCGCCCAAGTATCATGAATTCAGTTTTGTCCGGGTGTGGTGTTAAAAAGTTATTGCAACACCACTCATGTAGCTTACATATAACTCTATTGAGTGTTGTGGCAACAGAATCATGAGTTGGGCCAATTACATATATGGTGGTGTCGTCGGCATACATGTAGATATCACCTTCATCATCATCGCAGATTTCTGGCAGGTCGTTGCAGTAGAGAGAGAACAAAATAGGGCCAAGCACCGATCCTTGGGGAACACCATATTGAACTGACATGGACTGTGATTGGCACCCATTTAAGACCGTCATTTGCGAACGATCAGACAAGTAGTCGGCAATCCAGGACCAAAGATCCCCAGAGATACCGAGATCCTGCAGTTTTTGAAGTAATACCGAGTGTGATATTGAGTCGAAGGCCTTTCGGAAATCAACAAACACAATACCAACTACTTGATTTTTATCGAGCACCTTTCTCCAATCTTCCGTCATCTTAGCCAATAACAGCTTGGTAGAGTGACCCTTTTTATAAGCCCATTGTCTACAGTTACTAAGTTGATTTTCCGTAATATGGGTTGAAATTGTTGAACAAAATTTGTTTCCATAAGTTTTCCTGGTACACATAACAAGGATATTGGTCGATAGTTTTGCTTATCTGTTTCGTCTTCTTTTTTGAATAAAGGTGTCACATTGGCTGATTTCCACGTTTTAGGGACGACATTATAAGTCATACTAATTGTATAAAGTGACATCAGAGATGGTATTAAAGCATCTCCGGCAAATTTCAACAATTTAGGAAGTACATTGTCTGGTCCACTTGCTTTATCTGGTTTGAGATTCTTCAGGCTCCGCGAGATGACGTCCATATACAATGCGATATGCATAACTGTCGGAGTTATACGTGTAATATGTCTGAAGCAATCACCTTGATTGGATACAGGAACGTGTAATATGTCTGAAGCAATCACCTTGATTTGATACAGGAAATTTGTTTGCTAACTTTTCACCTATCTTGGAAAAGTGCTCATTTAATAGATCAGCTTTTCCTTGGTCTGAGGTTTCCATTGATCCATCGAATTTCCTAATACCCAGTATAGGCTGCCTCTTTTGGCTGTTGGTGGCATTCTTAATTACCTTCCAGTACGATTTGCAATCTCTCACTTTGTCAAACAGTTCTGTGTAATATTTTGTTTTGGCCAACCAGACCTCTTTCATTACTGAATTTCGGTATTTTGCCCACAGTTCTTCCTTCTTTCTTTGTCTAGCCTTTAGGAGTGTTTTGTACCTCATGTTCATCTTGTGTCTTATTTGTGGAGTAATCCATGGAAGGGTCTTCCGTCTTATCTTAATTTCTTTATAGGGAGCATGCCCATCACATGCCATTAAAAAGTTCCAACCATGTCTGATAACAGTCGTCAACGTCATCAAAGGTTGCGCCAGCTGACCAAGGAGCTTCTTCGATATCTTTAACAAACTTAGATTGGTCAAAATGTTTGTAACTGCGCGCTTTCACGATCTTAGGGGGTGGTCTTTTTATTTCCGTCATCAAACAAGCATTCACCAGCTTATGATCTGATATTCGCAAATCTAGCGTCATTGTATGTTTAATTAGTTCTGCTTTGCTGGTTATCACGAGATCAATTAGAGTGGAAGTGTCTTCTGTTACTCTGGTTGGTTGATTATTGGCTACCGAATAATCAAATTGGATTAATACGTTATGTAGTCTCTTCCCACAAGTTGTCAAAATGATATCACCTGCCCTACAAGAAAAATCGCAGTTGAAATCTCCCACTATCGTAACATTCCTGTGTTTCATCCAGACTCTTTCCAATATCTGTCGAAAGTGACCAAAGAACTCGTTATCATCAGGCGGTCTGTAAATAGTTCCTACTATAAAGACTGTGGAATTTATCGAGATCTTTAACCAAATTCCCTCTATTTCAAGAACCTCTAGGGATTTAAGATGCGAAGAACAAATGTGATTGTTTATATCAACAAGACATCTCCCACCAGCAGCTCCTGAGTTTCTGTCCCTTCTTACAATTTTATAGTTGTCTATTTCGAGTTGCTTATTTGATATCTTTTGATTTAAATGTGTTTCTGTAATCGCCAGGATGTCAAAACAGCATACTTGCATTAAAACTTTTACTTCATCTAACTTGTTCCTGAGACTGCGTACGTTAATGTGGGCTACATTTAGATTGTTTGATCCACTGCCTATTTCCCCGGCAAAATTTTCTAAATAATCTGATTCATTCCCTTCTGAATTAACCCAACCTGGATTTTGCTCAACATCTCCGGCGCAGATTAGCAATATTTGTTTAGTAGCTGTTGTATTGGAATAATACGCGACACGGCTCTTCGACAATTTTAATTTCTTTATGTTATTATATCCATTTGTAATTGTTAACACCAAATCATCAAATGCAAATTTGAATTCCCTCACTTGTAAACCTGGCCCATCGAAGCTTCTTTTCGCAAAACGATTTAACTCACAAGAATCAGAAAATCCCACTTTAACTTTGTATACTCCGGAGCACAGTTGTCTCTGGAACCTCACAACGGAGGATACTTCCATCACCAAAGGCAGCAAATATCCAACACTTCCACGCCATAGAATAATTCGCTTGGCTGACATACAATAATTCGCTTGGCTGATTTCGAAGCCACAACCAGGACAGGATATTTTTGCCAATTCCACAACAAATACCTTATTCCGACAACACAGTGCCGTTCCCGAATCAGTTCCTCGCATTTTGAGTTGAAAAATTGTACCAAAATGACAATTTTAAGGAGGGAAAATAACCAAAAAGTAGAGAGCCGCATAAATCGAGTATACTTCATTACGCATTCATATCATTACTTCATTACGCATTCATATACTTCATTACACATTCATAGCAAAGCTATTGGCCTATAATTATTTGGGTCTGTCGTTATCCCACTCTTATAGACTGGCGTTACTCTAGATATTTTGAAAGCATTGGGAAAAATTCCAGTAGAAATAGATTGGTTAAAAATATGAGTAAAAGGCACTGATAGAGCACTACTAGCCAGCTTTATCATTTTGTTAGGAATATCTGGAGAAGACTTATTCGCATTTAGTTCCAAGAAAAGTCGACAAACGTATTCCTCAGAGACAGGTGACATGCAAAAACTTGAAATTGGTGAGTTAGTTATGTATTTGGTGGGATCATCATTAGAATTTGGGATTGAATTAGCCAATTTGGGAACATTTACAAAATGCTGATTAAATTGCTCAGCAATGTCGAACTGATTAATATATGTTTTTTCATTTCTAACAATTCTAGTTGGACAAGTATGACCTTTGTTTTTCCTATTAATCAATGTGCCTATCAATTTCCAAGTGTTTTTTAGATTGTTTTTACATTGATGGAACTGCTGATTATAATATTCATTTTTAGTTTTAGTTTTTAATTTATTCAATACATTGGAATAGGATTTATATATAGAAACTCTCAACGGATCTCTACTTAAAAAGTGTGAGCGGTAAAGCTTTTGTTTTACTTTAATAGATTTAATGAGACCTTTTGAAAGCTAAGGTTTTGATAATCGTTTCATCCTATTACGCGAGGCTTGTTTAGTTGGTGCATGCCTCTCAATTATTTGAGTAATGGTGTTAATACATTCATTAGTCATTTCATGCAAGTTTTTGATTGTTGTTAAATATTTCTGACCAATTTACTGTATTTAAATCATTTACATATTTTGTCTTATTAAATTGATTGTAGTCCCTTAGGTAAATAGTCTTTTTAATTCTACTAACTGATCTGTTATACAGAGAAAAGGTAGGTAGGTGATCAGATATGTCTACCAGAGCAATACCAGAGACAATGTTTTGAGTTGATGCATTAGTGTAAATATGGTCGATTAATGTAGAGGAGTGTTCAGTGATGCAAGTAGGTTTGGTTATAATAGGAATAAAATTATCTAAGTAAAGCATATCTAAATATTCTTCTGCATGAGCATGTATGCTGTATTTAAGGAAATCCACATTCATGTCCCCCAATATAAACACTTCATGTTTATTATTATTTAATTGCTTAATTATGCTTTTTAATTCAGAAGTAAACTCTTGAAGATTAGCTGACGGATGTCGATAAATACATCCAACCATAATAGTAGATCTATTTCTGCCAGTGGCAATCTCAGACCAGCATGATTCAACAAGCGGCATGGAAAATTTTATATCAGGTCTATGTATACATTGCAAATCTTTGTTTATATATAAACCGGCACCACCAGCCATGGTTGGTGAGTCAGTATGAAAGAAATTATAATTAAGTAAATCAATATTAACCACATTATTATGGTTTAATTTTGTTTCCGTTATAGCTAGGATATCAGGCCTGCTATCAAGAGTGTAGAGGAAATCATTCAATATAGATACGTTTTTAGGGAGACTTCTAACATTAAAGTGAAATAATGATATACTATCATGACCCGACTTATTTAAAAGCCGATTAAGTTTAGTCATAGAGTAATAATTTGAATTAGGGGTATTTAACATAAGGTCTGAATCATTTTCATCAAATTTGTCTGGATTTTGTAGGACATCATATATATTAGAATCACTGCTAAGACAACGTGCCAATTACCAGTGAGAGCATTAAATTCAGTATCTGATAGGTAATAAAATGGTAAATTAGATAACTCACAGTCTTGTTCATCCATCACTTCACATACAGTTTGTGTCTAAAAATAATCACGAATTATTGTTTAGTCCTTAGAAGTAAACCTCTGAAACTCTTTCTTCTGTTGTAAAGCTGTTAACTGGCGACGATTCTGTTTGGCAAAGGAGAATTTTCCCGTTTGCAGTCCATATAAATTTATAGTTATGCTGTCTACGATAGTCATGAATTTTTCCAAAGAGACGCTTTCTGTAAGCCGTCAGAGATTCATTGATGAATATTTTTGTGGGTTGAGAGATACTCTTGCCAATTTCTGCATTTACTGAGGGCAGGCAATCTGTCAGTTTTCCATTTAAAACTTTCCTCTTCTTATAAATTTCTTCTCATATGTTGCGGCGTACGAACTTGACAATGATGCGGTCTTGAATTTTCCTCGTGAGGGGAAGTCTATGCGCCGTAGATATGTCATTTTCGTTAAGTAAAACGCCTAAGGTTGCTCCAAGTTCCATAACAATATTTTTCGGCTTGTCGTTGGGTAATGTAGGTATACCTGTAATTTCCAGACAATCACGTCTTTGGTATTGTTGAATTTCATCAATGGCGACCATATTTATCACAGTCGTTGTTCTTTAATCCGGTTATTGTTTTACCCTGGTCTTCGATTTTGCTTTCAATTTGCTGCATTTGTTTCTTAGTTGTCTGTGTAATCTTTATTAACTGGTCATACTGTTCGGAAAAGAAGGACAGAGTCTTTTCCAAACTCACCCAAGCGCTTGTTCAGATCACGAATTTCAGTATATAACGAGGCATTAGCTGAGTCGATTTCCTTTTGAATTTCTGACAGAAATTCATTTTTCCATAGTTCTCCAAAGCTTGCAATAGTAAGCTGTTGTCTTGTTGTTGTCATTTTGATAGATTATTATCGATTATCTACTTAAAACGAACTTACATGAGCAGAACCAACATGTTCTAAGGCAAGCAACATTTCAAGCACAAACACTGAACGTCGGATACCGTGTTCCTCACCGAGTATTTCATAATAGGGATAGATTTCATGCAAACAATCCGATAAAATGCTGGTTCCAAGAAGAATAGATTTAGTTTAGATTTTTAACTGTTAAATACAGGTATGCATCGTCATTAGCATGAATATTTCTTCTCAGATTTATTCTGTATCATATGAAAAAGCAACGCAATTTTGAGAATGCAGAAATGGTGTCTCATAGAACCTAAAATGATTTAAATGCAATATTTCTGATCAAAATCACATTGAGATTTCCTCCCCCCCCAGCATCACAGAAAGGAAATAAGGTGACACTGACCCCTCCTCCTATTTTTCAAGGTGACTTTTCCAATTTATTTAATTCCGAGTAGAAATGTCTGGAAAAATTATGTCTTTGATGTACTTTATAATCTTCAGAATTCTGCTAGATTTCACCCCCAAAATGCTTGAAATCACAATTCAGGTACCCTAGATTTCAAATTTTTCCCGGGGGTGGATGCCCCCGGACCCTCCTAGACGATCTCACGCCTTTCGCCCCCCCAAAAAAAAGGTCTGGCTATGCCACTGGTTATAGCTGCACTATTATAGCAACAAAGAGTTGAAGTTATAGTTTAAAGTAAAATATAGGTGAAGTTAATAATTTAAAGTTTTACAAAATCTCTTTTCAGGCTCTCTCGTTCGCCAAACCTCGACGGCTCATATTTTTCATTCTGCCTTTTTTCCTGTTTTGCCCCCCTCCCCCAGTGAAAATTCCTTAAAAAAGGCACTGCAACATACTCAAGAAATGATGACTAAGTATGGTTTAGGGTTGGGTTTGAATTCAATGGAAGGGAGGGAGGCAAAGCATGTAGCAATCTCCAAGTACGCTGCCAACACAGAATATTTGTACCGGTGGGAACAAGTATTCCGCCATGAGTACATCTCCTTGATTTGGCTACGCCTACAAGGTTACAATGCAAAGATTAAAGCACCATCTGCAACTCGATCATATATACCAAAGCGTGTAAGCAGTAAAAATCCAGAGTTTTGTTATTGTGGTTTTAATAAAAATGTATCAGATGAATTTTGCAGATTGTGTGGTCATGAGGTCCGCATAAAGATGAAGAAAAGCCTTGAAGATTGTCAGGTCATTCAAATCTAAGGCAGTACAAAATTTCATTAAGCTTGGTTTGCATATCAAGTTTCTGTGATCATACTAGGAATTTTTCATAGGTACATTCTAAGTTCTTAAGGATATGTAATAAATATCAGGGTGAATAACTCAGTGTTAAAAACACTGTTTTTGTCCCTCAAACGTTTCCAGTAAATCATTTAAATTTACCTATGCAAAGTTCCCACTGTGATCCCACAAACTTTGACATGTAAACCAAGCTTTAGTAAATTAAACACCTATTATACCAATACCTGATGTGGATACCTAATTCTAACCGTAAAGTATAACCCACACCCTAAAGTGCTGCTGACCTGTAACCTGCAGTTTTTTCATCTGCATGTTTGTTAAGAGAGAGTGTTGCTATGACTACGAGTGAATAAGAGTGGAGTGTGAACGATTGTGTGTGAATCAGAGGGTCCTTCACCTGAAGTATCAGTTAGGTTCTAAACAAGAGGTATAACCTACAGTACTAGCATACCGGATGTCTCAAAAAAAAGTATCGGTGTTTGATTTAACATAATGTAAAAACTATACGACGTTATGGCTTTCAAATAAGCTTATAGTATTAAGAAAATGCTAACCTAAATTTTGCTATACAGTGCTAGATCTTTCATTTCATATTGGGCGAGATATAAATGTTTTTAGCCAAAGTTAGGTTTGAAAATTGGCGAAAAAATCGACTAAAACGGCTTATTAAATTTCTTTGAAGACATTTGCTATTTTTTCGGGAGTATTGAAAATTTTAAAGAAGCTAGTTAGCTTCAATCTTGTATTATTTTATGGTTTACATAAAATATTTTGACCTTTGGACCTTGTGGGAAATGAAAAATTCGAATGCCAAAAAAGTTCAATTTGAAGCAACAAATCTGGAACATCCCGCATGAGCATGAGCCTAGGAATTTGAGACAGCTCCGCCAGGCAGTTATCTTAGCATGCCAAAGTTTAGAAGCACAAATGATACAAAGCGCTTTTTTCTGGCATGGTTAACAGAGCATGACGTTGTATAGGTGTTCAAGGACATGCTTTTTCAGATGAATAAATCATCGAATGTGTAAATATTCAGTATTTATCGTGTATTGTGTTGACAAGAACAGCATTAAATTAAATGTTAATTTGTTAGGCCGATTTAATGTAATTTTGAGCATTTTCAAAATTGCTTCTTCGAAATGAAACTGTAGCATTTCATTCAGTATTGCTCAAATATCTTCAAGTCATATATCAAAATTTAAGTTAGGCCTTTCTGAATTCAGTGAAGTCTATTTGATTGAAACTCCTTGTCCAGTTTTAACGGTATAACAAATCAAACACTGATACTTTTTTTCTTGAGACACCGGGTAGTTCAGTTAAGCTAAGTTACATATGGTAAGGATTGTTAGCCTGATGCTTGTATGGTGATTGTATGTATCTAGGAATTATACAATGACTCTGACCTTGTATACTGTGAAACATAAGCTATCAATATATGACACACAGAAAAAACAGTTTTCGTATACATATATTTGTACACGTGTACAAGCTTGACACCTGTACAAATATTATATATGTTGCTTATAGTACACGAGTTGTTGCAATAGAGTTCAGTACTTCAATCTGATTCTATTAAAATTAAGTTATTTTTGCTTGCTTACAACTAATAGCATAGAATATGTGATACTTTTATATTCGATTTATTAATATTGACTGCTGTCCAAAAGAGGTCAGTTGTTTTTCCAATATGGTTTGATAATGCTGTTCTATAGCTAATAGCAAAAATGTAAGGAACAAGCTAAGGGCAAAATCAATTTTACGTTACCAACTACCAATATTCCTTAGAAGTGCTAACATAACATCTGGTCCGAAAAACAGATTGAAGTACAGCAGCAATGTGCAAAATGCATATGACAAAATGTATGGCATTGCAAATATAAATTGTTATGTAGCACTTCTGGCATGCTTAAGAAGTTTGCAGTATGCTATACAGTTATCAGGGTTTGTACTCTGGGTATTATGGCATGAAAACAACTGCTTTTTCCTACTTAAATATTTATAATTAAATAAATGTGATTTGGAGTTTTTGGTACTATCCATAACAAACAATTGTCCGGCCAAACATTACAATTTTTCTACAGCAGGATGCATAGATGCACCCAGTTCATGCTACTACTACAAACCCGGATATTTAATAGCTAATTTATAATTCACAGCCTGCTTCAAATACGACCCACAAGGCTGTACATACTTGTCTATTTTGTCTAATGGCAGACATTTTCAATCATCAAGGCAAAACCGTTTTGCTTTATTGGGTTACTACAACAATCTGCCAATATGTCTTAATAACCCAATCCGGCCATGCTATGGCAGTAAAGCAGGAGTGAAATGCATTCACACATGCTATGGCAGTGACACCTGAAGACAATACATTTCTAAAAGGGGTCATTGATAAATACTGCATGGTGTAGTTAAACCTAACCTGAAGTTCAGGCCCTAATTTGAAATAGGGCCTGACACAAAACCTGTCTAAACTGTGGGATTCCTGTCCATCTGGTGGACAGGAAATCCAACTGGTTGATCAGCATCATGAAAGATTTTGATTGGTTGCAAGTTCACATAAACAATAGTTTTAATAGCTTGATCAAGGCGATAATTTAATAGGGTCAAATGCATGTGTCAAATTCCATTATCGAATTTCTTTTCGAACAATAAATCGAACAAACAGTATTTTGAAAGGGCTTTATCAAAATCTTTGACGAAGTTTGGACACATGACGCTGAAAGAACAGCAAAACTAAACTGTGGGATTCCTGTCCATCTGGTGGACAGGAAATCCAACTGGTTGATCAGCATCATGAAAGATTTTGATTGGTTGCAAGTTCACATAAACAATAGTTTTAATAGCTTGATCAAGGCGATAATTTAATAGGGTCAAATGCATGTGTCAAATTCCATTATCGAATTTCTTTTCGAACAATAAATCGAACAAACAGTATTTTGAAAGGGCTTTATCAAAATCTTTGACGAAGTTTGGACACATGACGCTGAAAGAACAGCAAAACTAAACTGTGGGATTCCTGTCCATCTGGTGGACAGGAAATCCAACTGGTTGATCAGCATCATGAAAGATTTTGATTGGTTGCAAGTTCACATAAACAATAGTTTTAATAGCTTGATCAAGGCGATAATTTAATAGGGTCAAATGCATGTGTCAAATTCCATTATCGAATTTCTTTTCGAACAATAAATCGAACAAACAGTATTTTGAAAGGGCTTTATCAAAATCTTTGACGAAGTTTGGACACATGACGCTGAAAGAACAGCAAAACTAAACTGTGGGATTCCTGTCCATCTGGTGGACAGGAAATCCAACTGGTTGATCAGCATCATGAAAGATTTTGATTGGTTGCAAGTTCACATAAACAATAGTTTTAATAGCTTGATTAAGGCGACAATTTAATAAGGTCAAATGCATGTGTCGAATTCCATTATCGAATTTCTTTTCGAACAATAAATCAAACAAACAGTATTTTGAAAGGGCTTTATCAAAATCTTTGACGAAGTTTGGACACATGACGCTGAAAGAACAGCAAAACTAGACTGACTGCTCATGTATTCGAAAGTGTTGTTGACAGCCAAGATGTCTTTGCTGTTCTGCCAACTGGCTTTGGCAGAAGTCTTATTTATCAGGTCCTACCGTCGTTGTTTTTTGAGCTACATCACCTTCGTGGTACGATTGGGAATTCCGTTGTTGCTGTTGCTAGCTCGTTAGAGTATATCCGCGTCCAGCAAGTTGAGACCTTGAGAAAGCTTGGCATTCAAGCCGTGCACAGAACCATAGTATGATAGAACTGACTAATTAAATTTTTGTTTGCTGTTCAGTTAAATAGAGAAACTGAACTCTTAATTATATAAAGATACCTTGAATTTTTAAGTTTAACTAAAAAGCAAAATGCACACTCTGTAGACATGTTCACGAGAATATAATTTTTTGTGCAATGAAATCTACAACACTTGTCAATCATATTGCATGACTGTGTCTAAAAATAACATGTGGGCATCCCACGGTCTAGACAGGTTTTGTTTCAGGTGTATATCTAGCTTTAAACCAGTGTATATCTAGCTTTTTCACCTCATGCATGTCCCCTTAGATTATGTAAAATTTTAAGTGATGAGGCCATTCTATTTGAACATTGTATTTAACTAGCCTCCTCCGCAGGCAACTGTGTAGTTCTGCAACGTTATTAACCATAAAAGATTTATCAGGAACGTAGAAAATACAAGGAAATACTAGTTCTGAAATACGATATGATATTAATAAACACTGGAGCGTAAAAATAGGGAGGCTTGTGGATAATGTAGGAAGTAATGGGATAATAGTGGGGCGAAAACGAGAAACGAGACAGTTGCCTGCCAAAAATCGATTGGTTGGACATGGCTCTTCACCTTCATGGACCTGACAATTCACCCAGGGTAGGGAAGTTTTTGCTTCTCTCGAGTCTCGAACGGAAAACAACATGGCGAGCGCGCCGAGCGAAAGTCAAGAGCGACAAAATCCTTCAAAAATGCCACGCTAATTGTCGAACACAGATTCCTGTTTGTAGTCTAGCATACAAGAAAACATTGCAAGATATTAATAAGAAACGTTCGCAAATTGAAGAAGCACATGACAAGATAAAAATGAAGAAAGATGTATTGGAAAAGCAAAGAAGCACACTTGGTATAAGTACATGTATGATAAACACAGCTCATCAAAACATCGGTAATGAAGACGAATGCTCAAAGAGTCAGTGAGAACAAGGGACAAGAAAAGTTATATTTACTCCTGGTGGAACCAAACAAAAAGGTATGAAACATAATATTCGGATGTTGAAACTACTGCTCATGGAATATAATATTTATATATCTAATAATCGATCTACTACAAAGTCAATATATAAATTATCGATTTCTCCAGTGAAACCTGGCTACCAGAAGTTCAAGATGAATTTAAAAGATGCTTTAGAGAATATTATTTCTAAAACCACAACTTCTGATTCAATAATAATAGTTGACGAGCTGGTTGACAAAATTAAAAACAAATATTCAGAAGAACATGGTTTTGAAAGGGGGAATATTGTGAACTTCATATCAAAGACATATGGAAGGAAAGTCAAGTATATTGGGAAAAAGAAAAGGTAAAGATTACTTTTGATGTCACAAGTTAAATATATAACTTATTTAATGTATGAGTTTGATTATGGTGCAATGCAAGGGTGGGCAGTAGCGAAGTAGTTGTAGTTCGCTACTGTAGCGAACTACAATTTTCAAGTAGCCAGTAGTTTTTGACTACTTTTCTAAAACAGTAGTTGTAGCGAACTACATTTTGCCTAAAAGTAGCCAAATAGTTGACTACTTTTCAAACAGCGAATCGCTATTCGCTACTTTTTAAAATTGTTAGCAACCGTTCATAGAATAGAATGATGATAAGACACGGTTTGCTTAAAAGATTATTTTATACAGTAAAGATTATTTTAGCGCAATGAAAAGTGGCACTCCTGAACACTGTACTGCTTATAAAAATGTTGCTTTGACCCTTCTTGTTTACTGTTTCTACTGGTAAGTCGATTTGTTATAGGTTATATTACAGCCTGAGCTAGTGGATGCTCCAAATACCGTAAAACTAAAAAATATAGAGCAGCGAAATAGTTCACTACATTTTTTAAGCAGTAGCAGTAGCTGTAGTCAGTAGCGAACTACCTTAGTTCAAAAGTAGCAGTAGTTGTAGCTGACTACATATTTTTGAAGTAGCTGTAGTTATAGCGAACTACAGAAATTTTGTAGTCAACCCACCCTTGGTGCAATGCTATTAAGGGTGTGATACATTTGCATGGTTTTACTATCCACAATCATGAAAATAGTTTAGCCTAAAGGCCCATTATTGTTTTTCGTGATGCATGTTAATGAGTTGATGGGTTATGAATGTTCAGAGTACAGTATGTTTACCGACCTGAACATTTATAACTCATCCACATGTTCACATCAATTAGAAGAGGAAAATAACGCCTAAAATATCAGCAAAAATTGTAAGTGTAAACAGGCCTTTACTGCATGTATAATAAAACATTTTGATGCAACCTTGAAAGTTTCAAAATAAAAGCCATGTAGTATATTCCTATGTAAACAATGTACAGTAGCCCATACTGTATATGTGCTAGTCTCATTTACCATAGTTTCTGACAGTGAAATTATGCCAGTGAAACTGATAAAATTTGCCGAGTTTGTTCCAGAAATGATCTGCATGCTGTGTATTGTGTATACGAGTAGGGTGTAAAATTCACCTGAATGGGGGATAATCTGTCTAATTCTCCTCTGTGCTCCTTTACATGTACATGGAATTACAAACTTTTGAAAGTAAAAATGATTTGAAATCTTTTTTATGTTGGTGTCAATTTTTCCTTTTTTTCAAGGGCATATTATCGAGGGCTAATGTTCATTATTGATACTGATGAATTGATTGAAGAAGGTATTTATTGTGCTAAAGTTGTTTTTTTATGAAATTATTTCATTTTAGTATCACTAAAAGTCATTTAGTAGTATTACTTTTAGCTAATCCTTCAGTGCAAATGTGTTGCAAGATTTAGCAGACTATATATCTGGCAGCTTTAAATACAATGATCCATTTTGTGTTATTTCATTCTTTCCAATGGAAGATGATTTTTTCTGATTCTCACAAAAAGGAAGGTGTTGGGTCTTATGATAATACAAAAACTATGAAAATCTTACACACAGTGCCAGCATTGTAGTGGTGTTATATTAACCCTTTACCCATTGGAGTGCAAGACCCTCCCATTGGCAAGTAAAATAGTCCAGCATTAGACGTAGTAAAAAATAAAGTAGGGTGCATTTGGGTGTATTGCTGCATAAGGGGAGAGTCTCACACTTTAATGGGTTGACAAAACAATCTGCCAATGTGTATTGTTAACCCTTTAAGCAACAATGCACCTTATTCTTTCACTCAGCAATAAGCCAACCGACCTCTGTTCTGTCTAATGCCAATTTTACTCGTCAAGGGGAGAGTCTTGCACTTTAACGGATTAAACATAATTATTGTTCCCAAAGGATTATTACCATTTGCATTCAAGCGTTAAGCGAAATTACGGTTTGTTTCCGGTTTTGAGAACATGGATTTGCCCAATGAAAACTGTATGTTTGACAGGTCAAACTTGTACATTTGACATTTCAATTTTCAAAACGGGACTTAATACACACTACATTTGAATATTTGATTTTATTTATCAGTAATTTTATAGTGTTTATACTCAAAACCAACAAATGGATAATCTTAAAACGAATAAGTTTGGAAGATCCTATATCAGCGGAAAACCTTTATCAGAAGACTTTTCGAGTATTAATCTTGGACATTATTGAGAAGGGAGGAGACAGTTTAACAGGTTATATTCCAGTTACTTATATCGAGATTGCAAAACGTTTCTGCGTTTCGCAGCAAACAGTTGCAAAAATATGGAGGGAATTTTGCCAAAGAAACAGTTTTGCTGTACAATCCCGTGGAGGACTACGTATTAATAATCGCAAATTAACTGACAATGACTTGGAACTGATCGAAACGTTGAAAGCAAATAAGGGATCGATCTCAATGCGAGAGATAAGCGAAATTTTAGAAGAGTTCGGAGATGTCCAAGGCGGTATTGCGATGTCAACAATTTCCCGCGCGGTAAAATCAAGATTACTGTCAGGCAAGAAATATTCTCGGAAGGAGATCACACACGTCGCGCTACAGAGGTTTACCTTCACAAATGTTTTGTATACACAACTGTTCGTAAATTACCTAAGTTCGAAAGATGCTAGAAAAATAAATTTTTTCGACGAAGCAGGTATAAAGTCACCAGATGCAGGCATTCGTCTATACGGGCATGCACCTGTTGGAGAAAGATGCGTCGAAGTGGAAAGAAAGCTCGAAAATCCCAACACAACTTTAAACCTTCTCGTTTCTCTAAATGGAGTTGAATACTATAACTTGTTGGATGGAGCAACCGACACAGTCCAGTTCCTAAATTTCTTTGAAGAAGCTGCGAATGCAGTCAATTTTGAGACGACACGACCAGCGCTTGAAGTGGGCGATATTGTGGTCATGGACAATCTTGCAGTGCACCATTATGAAGGTGGAGAGTTGCTCGAAGAGTACCTTGCTGATATGGGGATTGAATTATTATTTACCCCTGTATATTCCCCAGACCTCAATCCCGTTGAACTATGTTTTAATAAAATTAAAACACAGCTGAATTATAATTTTCAAAAAGTATTCAAGGCAAATTTAAAACTGGCCACCGTATTAGCCCTTGAAACAATTACTGTGGAAGACATGTCTCATTTCTATAACCTGACATCATATTTATTCGAACTGTAAATATATGCTGTTTCATTGAACTATATTGAACCTTTATAAATTTATGCCGTTTTACGAACTTCACCATCACATGCAGAGGTAAAAAATATTTGCACTATAAGTTTGAATACGTTTGAATGACTTTAGATGCATGCATGCTGAGATCATATAATTATTTACATGACACGTTAGTCATAATTACCCTTACTTTTTGTATTTGTTCTTTTTCAGTGCTATAGTCGTGATTGGTCGAGTGCTATATATAGTCATGATCGGTCGATTAAAATACTATCGTAGAAGCTAGCATATAGCATCACTTTCCCATTACCGTACACATGCATAGACTATTCGAAAGTTTTCAAGTTACATGTAATTAAGACAAAAAGGAAATTGGTCTATTCTATATTTTTTTCAGTTATTTAAGCATTATAATATGAACCCCCTGAGCTTTTGCATTTACATGTTTGCACTTATAGAATATCAACTCTTATATACATGAGATTTAAACCATCTACATGCACGACTACACAACACAATATTAATTAGTACTGAAATACTGTATACAGGGTGTATCAAGAAAAAGTAAGTCCTTTCAAATTCGAATTAGCTACAACCTATTGTATTAATTTGACAGCTCTAAACTCAGTTTAAACATTTTTCTTTCAGTTATTTGTTTCATACGATCAGAAGTTATGCTAAATTTGCCATGTGTGTATGACCTTCTGTTTTTGCGCACAATTAATTCGAAACAATTACTGAATTAGGGCTGTCAAATTAATACAATACTCAATACTCAATAGGTTAATTTAAATTTGAAAGGGTCTACTTTTTTTATACACCCTGTATAATAATATGAATGGATATATGTTAATATGATGTCAATGAAATGTCAAACTATTAAAGTCTAAGTTTAGTAAATAACTAGTTTATAAATCCTGTGTAAACAATACCGTACCTTCCAGAGGTTTATTTTTAATATACAGTAATACTGTCAATTGGAAGCTGTTATTTCATTCGTGACAGTGAAAGCAGCAATTCGGCAGTCTCTTTGTCTGTAGTTGTCTCCAAATCCAATGTTTCTTCTTTGTTAATGTTTATATTGATATTATCATTATCATTGCTATTATTAAATTCTACCGATTGTGTCAGCTCAATTGTATGAATGAATGTTGGAATTATCTCGGTTCCTTTACCTTCAGTACCTTCGTTTAGGGCACCAGCAGTACTAGTGGCAGTGGCCGTTGACATGGTGGTACTTTCACGTAAACTTTCTCTAATACATAAGCCGAGTTGTGCTTCTTCTTCGGCTTCATTTTCAGGAATTAAACAAGAATAGTCTCTCGAATAGTTCGAATCATTGCAGGCTGAGCGCGATATACTGTCTTTTGGCCTTGGCCCGACTGGGAACTCTACGCCATATCCTTCTAAAAGACTCTTACTAGCAAACTCGCACTTTTTACGAGGTTTAGCTTGATGTACTAACTTCATTCGCTCGACTGGTGAAAATTCCTCAAGGGCTTCTTCTAGGGTTTCGAGTAGTTCGTGCTTTGGAGGAATTTTGCCGTTAAGGTATTTTTGGCTGTAGCATTGCAAAGCGTAAACGTGTTTTCTTACTAATGTCCAATTCTTGACACCACTTTCATAGTAAGCCTTGTTATTTTCCTGCAAAAGCTTGTTCTCAATTCTATTGTGAATAGATGTTGTAACTTTTTTAGACGCATTTATCTTGCTTTCCAAATCTTTCCGCATCTGTTCCTTTTCGTTTCTAAGTTTACTCAAAGACACCGTATACTGTTTAGCAACATTTTCAGTTGGATGAAATCTCTCTTCGCCACATTGAAACAAAGTGGTGCATGAATCAAACATACATTTTCTTGCGGTGTGATTGAGTCTTAAATGGCAATTGTGGCAGACGTTCCCATCTCCTTGTTGAGATTTCACTAAATTAATTCGTTGTTGAAACGCTGACAATTTTTCGTCCAGTCTATATATTTCGTTATCTTTTAGACGTATTTGGTCCTCCAATTTTTTCACGTATCTTTCAAATGGTGTACTGATATGACTGTCAGTGTCATTCTCGGAACATCGACTTGTAGTTGAAGCAGATTGTTTAAAATGTTGGTCATCGTCGTTGCGAGTTTTACCCATTCTTGATACAAAAGAAAGAGATTTTTTACTGGATCTGGTCTCACTAATAGTTATGGTTTTGGGATCAGGGCACACCCAGGGCTGTCCAAATCTCTTTCTTTTCGTTGTGACGGTGAATGTCCTACGAAAATTTGCAATTTCAATCGCTTTAAATCCGTCCCAGGAACAACTGAAGAAGACGTGATTGCCAGGTGAAGACATCGGGGATCTTTATTCAAAACGACGTAATCACCATCGTGGTTTTCATACATTAAGCCAAATTCTATGTCTCTTATCTTCGGAATCTCGTTCTTTATTTCATACTCCAATTCTTCATATGTGACTGGCTCATCAATTATGGCACTACGAATTGTTTCATTATATTTGAATTGTATTTGAATTTCAGTCATGTTCAAATTTTTTGTTTAATCGACGAAGAAAAATCAAGAAAGCGCTCGAAATGAATACATCACACCTTTTTTTGTGGTTTTTAACAACGAGGTCCCGCCCAGCAAATAGAAGTGTTGTTTTGATAATTGAAATGTCAAACGTACAAGTTTGACCTGTCAAACGTACAGTTTTCATTGGGCAAACCCATGTTCTCAAAACTGGAAACAAACCGTAATTTCGCTTAACGCTCAACGCTTGAATGCAAATGGTAATACGTTGATAGTTAATTGCATTTATAAAATACACAGCCAAAACAAATGTTGGTATATTTAGTTCTCAATTCTCTTTTACAGATATAGAACAGAATGATCGTATTGTGAGGCCTCGAAGTAAAGTGAGGAGAAGTATGTATATAAATAATTACATAACAAATACCCGCAAAATCAAGTGACAGAATGCTTCACACACTTGTTACTTTTGCTTATTGGATTCTTGTTTGTCCTACATTGTAATGCAAATGTTTGCTTCCACAAGGGAGTTTTCATTATATATGGTATGGATTAGTTGGAGGCAGCATTCTATGTCCTAGCAACCTTTGAATATGCAATTTGCTTTTGCAAACAGCAAAATTCTCATGACCCTACAAGGAAGAACCAAACCTTATTGTTTTCCAACTCCTTCCCTGGCATACAGTCAATGAATACTTCTTGATTTGGCTTAATGATTTCATTGATCCCCAAACCATAAAAGTGTCTAAAGCTGTGGTTCGCAGAAATGAGGCTAATGATGCAAATATTTGAATTTCTGTTGTGCTAAACCTCTGTTAAAATGACTGTTTCATTCCAACCTTGAATGACTGCTACAATGACACTGTAAGTTTCCACTTTTCTTTCCAGATCAATATTTATTTTGATTATCTTTTACAATTATTATATGTATTGATTATGAATGCTTTGAGAATGTTAAACAGATGGGGAAGTTGCTGCACAACTTGCTTCTACAAGTAACAATAATATTAATATAATATCATTTGAAATTTTTTTACAAGAACATAGAAACAATGCTATACAAAATGTTGATGAATTCTTGCTCCACGAAAATCTAATTCTGAAAATCTACTTCTAAATCAACTCAATGAACATTCATGTTTTGTAGGTTCTGATGATTTCATGCGTATGCATGAGTTAGTAGTTCAAACAGCAAATCTGGAAGACGTAATGGAGTCACCAGGAAAAACAAGTGATGAAAAAAGTAAAAGTTGTGATGCAGATAGTGCCAAGAAATCCTTGAATGAATATGATGCTAATGTTCAAGACATCATTAAACTACAAGAGCATGTAATAGCAACGCAGCACAAAATTATTTCAAGTGGGAGTTTCTTAGGTGGGCTGTTGTCATTGTCAGAAAAAAATGCTATTAAATCTGAAGTAAATCAAGCGAAGCAAATATTCAACCTCAAGATACGAGAAAACAAGAGGAAAGACATAAGCGAAGTGGTCAATCCACTCCTTTTCCAGCAATTGCTCGTAGATATTAAGAATGCATGCCCAACCATAACTGCTGTTCTGGAACTACTTGTACTGACAAACAATACGTCACAAAATGTTTTAAAAACAGAAAATGTGAAGATGAAAGCCACAGTACATCTTTTGGCGTCAATGATAGACATCCGCGATCAGCATGGCAACAATGACTTCCCATTGCTATTTGGGCTGCTATGTCTTTGTTATGGAGCAGGACCATCTCTGATACGAATGCTGCAATGCCTTGGTTTGTCCGAATCATTTCCCATGTTGTATGTTTGGAAATTGGAGACTAAGTATTCATTAGTACTGCTTACGCTCATATTTTAGGCTAACTCATACTCAATGAGAACAGGTTCAATCTGAGTTTCCCTTGAGTTGGCAATGCCGTTTTTGCACATACTAAGGTACAACAATAACCCTCCAGCTATTCAAATATATCAAAGACACTCAAGAGAAGCTCAGATTGAACATCCACTCATTGATTGTGAGTGAGCTTTTAGTAAGCTTTTGTTTAATGTACAATTGCTTTGCAAAATTAAGTATTTAAATGCACGTGCGTGGGATATCAGGTAAACATGTATACATGTAGTAAGGGATTTTGAGATTTGCTTCAATTTCCACACCCTTGGGGAATTTATTTTATAACTGTCGTGTCCATATATACCTAACATGTAATCTTTTTTTCTGACGGATTTCTATTCTGAAAACTCAGTTGGTGAGTTATAAAGAAGTAATTGGTCAGCGTTTATCCAATCAGTTACCAGTGATAACATATCAGGATAACATGCAAATTAGTCACACATCAGTCAGGCATTTAAGGTTGTCAAAGCTGCAAAAGGAGAAAATCAAACAAGGAAAGATGTGGGACTTTACTGTACGTGGGTGGCGAGAAGCAGACATTACAAGAATTGAACACCACTTTAATGAAAAAGAAGCTGTAGAAGCACAGAAACCTGTAAAAAAAACTTCTATTCAAGGATACCAAGATTGGTAAGTGTTTTCGTTTCCTAGGAAAATTAGTGTACTGGGGACAGTCGTTCAATAGCCAGTTAGCTTATAATCCTGGGTTAATGTACAATCCAAAGCAAACTTCCCAACAGTTTATAAACCTGGAAGCATTTTTTCAGAAATGTTGTTTGTCTTGTCACAAGGTTAATTTTATCAAGTTTTGAATTAAATAGAAGTGCAGATGCACCCAAACCAAAACAGCAGGTTAAATTTTAATGAATCTGAAATTACGATTACGATGGACTACGGAGTATAGAAGTGCTTACTTACCGAATTCGATTCCCAAGTACGATTCCCACGTGTTATTTTCAATAAAAGATGCCATATAAAGTTTAAGATCCCATATCAAAGCCAACAAACTCATCTTAATTGCTTTGTAAAAATCGAATCGTTTAATCAAGTTTTTATGCACAACAACATGTTCACGTCAGGTTGAGACCGTCATGCGCATAGTTTGCCACTCATTTCCATATAATTTGATTTCGACCGATAATTTCCATTCGAAAAGCATTCGATAAAACACACGGTATATTACAGTTACATTAACCTGTCAATGTTTTTCTGTTAGAGAGCCATGCAACTGAACAAGAAATGGACCTCATGCCAAGAGCGAAATTTGTTGCGTAAAATGGATTTAGCTTTAAACGTCTATCCTGAAACGGTGGAGCAAATCCAATCCTCATCCAGTGATCATCTACGAGAAATGTCTGATTCTGCTGAGTCGAAGGTGAATCAACGAGTTGATGCTAAGCAATTTAAAATCAACATCCCACAGATTGAAGAAGACTTCCCTGATCTTGCTACGAAGAAGACAAAGATATTTCCTCTTCCAATATCGCACGAAAATCAGCACACGAAAATCAGCGCACGAAAATCAGCGCACGACAGTTGGTGTTGCGAGCAATTTGGACCTGTTTGCGGAGGAACCTAACACTTAGCACACTTTGAGGTTGGTCTAAATTAAAGCGATCTCAAACCAATCTGAGGACGTTTCATTAAGGCGACAGACAATTTACTCGAGCCATATCAAAAAGGTGTATTCTGCCTAACATACTGTATGCTGAACAATACATATCAATGTTTGAGCATGCATAAAACTACATAATTTCATAAATACTAATCTTGCCATGACCATTGGGTGAAATATATAGATACTAAAAGGCTGGGTGTTGAGTCATTGACATGTCAAACTTATTGACGTGATAATTTTGCGAGTTTTTTTAAAAAATTGTGGCATATAGTGTACCAGAACCAATCTCAAAGGGCGAAGATTGGCTACCTTGACAAAATTAAATTATACAGGTAAATGCCCTCCGATAGATGGTGAGGAATGGATTAAGAAGATGTTACACGGAACAGTTCTCAACGACAATTCTAAAATAGAGCCTGATCGCAGGTTACAACAATTCGGGAATGTCGAACCAATAAAATTTCGAATGACTGCCATTTGCATTGCGAGTTGTTGTTGCAAATTGTTCCTCGTATTATCACAAAGGATTTTGATGAGTAATTACGTCAAATGTAAAATATGTAAAATAGGCATTAAGGATGTAAACAAAGAACTAGATAAACGTTTCAATTCTGTGTTTGGGATACTGAGAGATATTGCATCAGTAAGTACCAGCGACATGTATTTAACTGAAAGAATTAATTTGCTGAAAGCAACATGGTTTCCAGCACGAGATCAATACGAAAGAAGCGTGCTTCATGTGGTGTCAATTTCAGACAAAAGCACAGGATATGGAAACTAGTAGCACTAGCAAGCCCTCAAATGTTGCAAGAAAATTAAACATCAACGTTGGTGACCAAAAAAACACTTTACTTGTACAAGGCTGTGCAAACCGATGCCCAGATGTGTATATGGATGCCACACACCTAAATAAATGTCCGCCCGACTAGCAAATTCAACTCAATATTTGGTTTACTAAATAGTGCTGCTTTACACAAATTGAATATTATTTAGGTCGGAAAGCAGAGAAAATTGTAACATATTTACGCAAAAACTGTTAAACAGAAAGTGTTGCAATTGTTTTGAAGTAACTTTTGTATGTTAACTTATTGAATGCAAGCACTCTCCCCTTGACGAGTAAAATATTCTGGCATTAGACAGAGAAAGATACTAAAGTAGGGTGCTTCATGGTGCGATGCAACTTAGTGGGTTAACCATGCATTTTACAGAATATTTACATTTAACCAAATGAAAAATTGACACAGCAGTTTCAAGATTATATCCGTTATTAAAAAACTAGTTATGAGGAAGATACAAACGAAATGAATGTTTAATCAATGTTCACAAATTGGATAAAAATGTGTCCTGATTTACATAAACTTCTGCTTTGATTTTCCCGGCTTTGACAATGTATATTTTTAAAATTACTTTGCCAATGAACTCATAAGATGGGTCATTTTTTAAGCATGTTAATACATTCGCATCCAATCTTTATCTGATATACAAACTCTCGCCTTTGGCTCAAGTCTGTATATCAGATGCTCTGCCCTGCTCTTTTTTTCCAAATGGGCAAAATAAATTATAGAGATAAGGCATTTACACACATTGTCAATCCTACTGCCAAATGGCCATATGCGTATCGTCTTATGTACCAGAGAAATAAAACTGTTAATCTTGAAGGTAAGCAAGGAAAGCAACTGGCTGGGGACGAGTGGGTTGAAGACTACCTTGTTAGACCAGTCAAGCAGTTTACAAGTGCTCAAAGTTCATTGTCTATGGTTGAACTAATGTCATGTAGTGTCAACCTACTGGAAATGAATCGCAAGATGTACAAGGCAAAGGAAGCATTTGATATTCATCATACAAGAGAACATAAGAAGCCATCATCTTTGTATGATCAAATCAAAGTTGCTCAGTTTGTAATTAAAGAAAGATGGTTTGAATGCAAACAGCGAAAAGATGTTCATCAATACTTGTGGGCTGGTAAGACAGTCAAGGGCAAACTGTACCCAAAAAGTGTATAGATGCTCTATCTAAAGGGGCGGAGAAAGCAAGTGAGGAATTTGTACCATTTTTACACAGAAAGTTTCCAATTGAAATGTTATAAACTGTGACATAATTGAATTATGAGATGCAAAATATGCACATGATACCGACTATCCAGATTTGTTGCATGAAATTACCTTGAGATACTGTAGATAATGTGATAGTTTTTCTGATGTAAAGATTTAGTTTGTTTAATATGGTAAAGACAAATGTACAATTTATTTAAAAATGAAATGTGATCTATTTACACTTACTAATATATTTGGTCATGCTATGCAAAAAATTTCTGTGATCATAGACTGAAAACAATCAGTTTCCAAAGAAATGAATGATTTAAAATTTGCATAGCATGACCAAATTGTCGGGCTGTCTTGGCCACTGGATACAAGTACTTTGAACTTGCACCATTTTAACATAAAGTATTACAATCTATTAAGATTTTTCATACCGAGATACAGTTACTCTCAGAGCTAGAAGGTCATGTGCTTTGGGACCTAAAACAAGTTGTAAGTAAAGACTTCTACCTTTTTTCTGTGGTATTTCTGCTAAAATACCAAAATATATAAGGCTATGCAAAAACTTGTCCAGTAAAACTGTTGGTATGAAACGTTTTTCAAGGCAACCAAAATTTGACAACACATCCAATTTTTTGCAGACTTCTTGCCAAAAAAGTTTCAAAGTGTTGCATGTAAATACACGTCCTGTCAATTCTACTATTGCCTGGACCACCTTCAAAGCATCTGATGTCCCATCTGTGACATAGAATTCACCACGGTTGCAACAATTATCCCAAATTACTCCACACATGAAGTCCTGTAGACTTTCACCAAAGAAAATCATAAGACTTCTGTGACGACATTGCACTGGGTCTTCCTTGGGTCTGCTTCTCTTTGAAAAAGCTTGACAAGGGCATTTTTGTCACCATAACTATAGAATAAAATACACTTCGAGGGCAATTTATCTCGACCAGCACGTCCGCATTGTTGATAATACTCCTCTAAGCTTGTTGGCATGCGTGCATGGATAATGTATCGGACATCTTTTTTGTCAATCCCCATTCCAAATGACGAATTTGCAACAATAACATGACACTCATCGTTGAACCATTTGGTATGGTTACTCACTCGAACATCTTCAGATAACTGCCCATGATATTTAACAGATTCCACTCCCCTTTTCAAAAGTTCCGCATGAACTGTTGCAACATCTTTTGGCAAAACACAATATATAATCCCACTTTCATTTTTATGTTCCAAAATAAAATCCTTCACTTCATCGTAAAACTTGTTTGTTCGTTCTTTCACTTCTAAGAAAAGGTTTTCCCGAAAAACTGATGTTCTCAGAACAGTTAAAGCACTGAAAATCGTTTTCAGTTCAGCCTCTAGCTTACCAGTTACTGTTGCACTCAGTAATAACTTGGGAACTATGATATTAGCCAGCTTCTCACACACTTGTTTATAAACAGGGCGAAATGTATTTCCCCAACTGACAATAGTATGTGCCTCATCAAACACAATTCTTTCAAGCTTCTCTTTCTCAATCAACTGATATAACGCATTAATAAGTTCACCCTCTTCCAGCATTTCAGGAGTAACCACAACAACTTTAAATTTTGGTAAGTTAAGCAGCTGACTCTCTTGTACTTCCTTCGGGATGTCCCCAGTAAATTTACACGAGGAAATCTTCAAACGTCCACATGAATCAATTATGTCATCTATAAGTGACTTTGTAGGAGCAATAACAAACGTTGTCTTTTCGGATATAACAGCAGGCAAGAGATAAGTCAAAGACTTACCACCACCTGTCCCCACAACGGTTAAAACGTCATCGCCTTTCATTGTGGCAACTATTATGTTTTTTAACACAAAATTCAATTCAATAGATGGTATGTTATCATGTAGATTATGTTTTTTAACACAAAATTCAATTCAATAGATGGTATGTTATCATGTAGGATAACATTATAAATATACTTATCGCTGTTTTCATCCAGAACTTCGATTTCAGATGACATAACAGAATCCGATGATAAATATCCAAATTCGTTCAAACAAAACGCAAACTTCGTCGCTGATTCAAACAGTGAACTAGCTTGAACCGCTAAGTTTTCATTATGCCATGTAACTGTAAAGTTTTTGGCTGTATCAGGCCACAATGGGGGAACGGAAGACAGCTTTTCTAACACGTTTACTAAGAACCACATATCAGTAGTATCAGAACATTTGTCCACCATATTTTAGGTTTCACTTTGCGACTTTACTCTATGCCCCTGCCAAGTCGTTACATTTTATCCCTACTCCACTCCTACTAGGATTGAAATTGCGTGCGCGGGCTATATGCGCAGATCTCATTGTATATGTCGATTTTTGGCAGGCAACTCTCCCTTCTCTCGTTTCTGGTTTTCGCCCCACTATTATCCCATTACTTCCTACATTATCCACAAGCCTCCCTATTTTTACGCTCCAGTGTTTATTATAAATATCATATCGTATTTCAGAGCTAGTATTTCCTTGTATTTTCTACATTTCTGATAAATCTTTTATGGAACTACACAGGTGCATGCACCTGTAAAACATCAATTTTTACTCTAAAAAGAAAATTTAGGGTGATATCGCAACATAAAATTGTACACTTCAAATTCTATCCCTGTGTATTTTAACACAAGCTACAAGTTTGTGTCATTGTCGAATGTATTACTAAAATATCAGGAACTTGTAAACTGCATGCAGGCTAATCCCAATACAACGTGACATTGATACTATTGTTCCCAGATGCCTAATTTTAAATATGATACAAAAGAATGTTACTGAATAGATTTTAGTACCACTCTGATCTGCATTTCTCGAATAGTAAGGGACCAGTCATAAAGTAACTGCTAGGGTGGGCCGGAGGGAAAAATAGGTTTTCCAAAAAAAAAACTGGTGGCCCATCCTGAGAACCAAGAAAACATTTCAAAGCCCATCGTAGGTCATTGGAAAAATTTCATGACCCATCCTGCTATACATGAATATGTACAGTATAGCAGTCACTTTGATCAAACCATGCACTGAGTCACTTTGTCATAACTTTATAGAACAAATTAATTGGTTACATATTTAGTAGTTTACACACCAAATAGATGTGATTTTAAATTATTGAAGAATCATTATTTGATATCTCTCTTTATATTAATATTAATATTTTAAAATAGTACAAAGAAGTTC